AACGTTTATTCCATTTTACTTCACTTACATGTATGTGAATCTATCTACGAGCACATACTGTGCTGGGTTCTTTCGGCATAGTATTTCAATGAGGTAGCACGCAAAAGTCGGCATCAGATTCGCGCTTACTCAATGAGGCATATACACCAACATACATGTACCCTGTCTCCGGCACACATACACACAGGCAAACATACATAACTTAAGACACATGGAGGCACGTCCTTAAATGACCGTAGCTGGTGACAGAACGCTAAACCCTGTACCACCAACTATTTACGAGCACCTATATACTATTTACATCAAGATTAAAGCTGGATTCGACACAACTACCTAATGTAAAGAGTTTCATTTGCGAATAAAAATGTATAAGGTTACTACTCACCGCAACGTGAGCATGCAAGCAATGAAAACGTATCATTCCATATTTGCGTATGATTTGCATATATTTTTGTCGTACCATTAATGCTGAAGGCCGATATCATCAAGTAAGCAGTTCTTCATGATTTGTCGCAGGTTGCACTCTATTCATCAGCCTATAACCTTCACTTTATACAGATTAAATTATGAATGAAGTACGCAATGGAGTTTCGCTGTCGGTAACTTTGACTCGTTGTGATGACATTGGTCGGAATCCGTAATAGACTATTATTTTTATTGACAAAATACATGGATATACGGCATTAAATGTTTTTCAAACATTGACGTGGAAACAGAAACATACCATCCATTCATTATAAGAACTGATAAGTGCTCTGGCTTTAGAACCCAAACTGGCTGTTTGTGGAATTAAAAACATTTGTACCGGTACATGTAATGAGGTTTCTAGGCTAATTCACCTGTTACCTGGAGAGATCCAGTAGTTCTGCCCCGCATTGCTCCCCCATAAACCCTAGACCACATGTTTGAAGGGCGGGGATCTCTACTATTATACACTTGGAACATCAATATTTTTTTTCTAAATTATCCTAGGTTTCCGACGGAATCTAAAACAGGTGTGTTTTGTTATTTGAATGATGTATCTTTTGAACTCGGAAATAAACTAAATGGAAAATTGATGTTTTGAGATTGGCTGCAATTCCTATAAACATACACGAAACTCTGGTGTTTTTTGTTATTTGAAAACTAGCAAAACTGGAAATATTTCTATCAGAAACGTTCCCGGAATTCACTTTGTATGTTCTGCCTTTAATTCAAATCCTGCCAATCGTTTGATGTACTTGACGAAGTACTTATCAGACAAGTGTTATCGCCTAATGGGGGTTACGTTAACGTCAGATAGCAAATTGCACGTTGTGATTATATAATATGGTATGCTGGTTGTTTTTAAGTTTGTTTTATACGCGAATATCAATTTGCATGGTGTTTGAATCAACCCTCATCGTTACATTGAGAAACGAACATATGTTAGATTTACACACCCCCGTTTTACGTCAAAAATGCAATCAGACTTGGTCGAAAAAGAGGACAAGCATTTATCACATTAGTAATGATGCCATACGTGTGATACATTTGTATATCTTATATTAAGGCATTAACACTGAAGAAACAAAATTAATCTCCTGCCCCCTTCGTAACACTTGGGATTTCGTTTACTTTTCCTGGTTCCCTTCTCTTCATATTGCAAGGACGTTAAACCACAAACAAACAATTTGTTAACATGATTGGCCAAGATGAATTCCACTTATATTTCGTAGGGTTATATAATAACATTACCGTGTCATGTGAAGTATTTCAGATAGTTTTGCATATATACATGTATAATAAGCACTTAAGAAAATATGCAGCACTGTTGCGTTCAAACACATTCCACGATAGGCAGAATCATATTTTGCAGTCCACTATAGTTTCTGATGAACCAACTCCCTACTTTATGGGCGGATTGGTCGAGTGGTTAATACTCCGGCCTTCCACGCAGGCGGCCGGGGTTCGATCCCCGAAGTCATCGAAGGCATGGAATATTCAACAAAAGGTGATTTTCTCTTGCCAACACAACTCCAACAACGCAGGCGGAGTATAAAATGGTCTGCGGTGTCTGTGCTGTAGTATTCAAGTGAGGTGGCACTAAATGATACTGTTGGAAGTACGGTCCCACTACAAACAGAAAACGTTATATCTCCAACACACACGCAGGCATACACACATAGGGAGATATTAGTCAGGTGGCATAGGACTAGTAATAAGCGCCTGATAAGACAGCTGATTAATGTATATGCTAGTTGTATCATTTGTATAAATTGTATATATATGTACTGTAAAGCGCTTAAGCGTGGCTTATTTAAGCCAGACAGGGCGCTATATCAAATGTTGTAAATTATGTATATTATTTATTCTATTTCTTCGGGATGATGAAATATGTCATTCTTTGTATGCAAATGAGTTGTATGTTTCTTTAGATTCGTGAAACATCTTATAACAAACTAACTAGAGTGACAACTGTTGTTCAGGGTCAGGGTCATGTTTTCAATGGCTACCTTTAAGCTTGCCAGTTAGACGACAAACGTCAACCGCAAACCGCTCTGGTAATTCCGTCAAAATTTTGAATTTCACGCCACAACAAAACTGGTCTCCGATCACTCTTTCGGTATGACGTCAAAACCCAAACGTTTTCCGTATCAATCAAATTACACGTGTAACAGTCCTTCATTCACGTTTTAAATAGTACCAATTGGAGTCGGTAAGCCTATATAGAGATTGTATACAATTAATACAAATATGCGTATTAAGCTCAATGGGTATCTAATACAAATATTCATAGAATCATTTAATACAAAAGGTTTCGTATGCTTAATACATACATTTACCTATTATTTGTGATACTTGAGGAACAAATGAACTTTTTAAAAATGGTGAGGAAATTGTGTTAATATAAACCAGTCCTAGCCCTGTTATCTTTTGCTTATCACATCATGTTGATATTGGCCGCCATTATTCACAAATGACGCGTGCACAAATGTTAGTTCACCTGCTGGGCAGTGTAATATTGTGCACGTGTATTACCCGATGAGAAATACAGTTCAGGTAATTATGTACACCTGTGACGTGAGTGTTATTTGGCAAGCCGATTTTCGAGTTCGCATGCCTTAATCCTAAACGAATTCACTTCAGGAGAACCATATAACTTAACTCATCAACCACTTTGTTCAATGATATCAATGTCTTGTAAAATACCTGTTTTATTTTTTACACACCCAGGATGTTTTGCCGGGTTGTTTGGTCCGAAATGATTTAATTGCCAGTGGGCCGTGAAATGTTACTAAAACAAATCAAACACCCTGGACACATGTGTTTGTTTATCATCATAGCATGTACCGGGACGACAATACATTAAGCTGTGTATATGTATGCATGTGCATTGTAATTTAGTCAGTCCTAGACACAATGATATCCCAGATGGTTCCGGGAACGGATAGGCCTGCTGTATCCCACTGCATATTTAACTGTTGCGTTGATGTTCACCGACAAAACACACCAACAAAAAATATCTTCTAACAAATAAAAACTATAAAGAGTTAGAATATCTAATTCGGTTTTTGATATGTAACAATAACTTTTGTCTTGTTTTACGTTAAAGAAAGGTCTTTTAAAGTTGAAGTTAGTTTCCTTTTTTTTTTTTTTTTTTTTTTTTTTTTTTTTTTTTTTGTTAGTTTCCAGTTAAGGAGCCGCTAAAGCTCCTCTTTTGAAACATGATAAATCGAGGGGAAACAACAAATCATGTTTCCTTACAACAAGAGCAATGCATACTTTATTATACCGAAATAAAACCACGAGACAACCGTAGAGATAGTCAGGATGACGCGCCATTGTTTTCGTCTCTTGCCGTCACTCGGAACGCAGGTCTGGGGGTTCTTTTGGATTTTTTCTTAAGCTTTTCCGAGTGAGAGACATCTGACAGTCGCATCTAGAACGTGTGAGGACAAAACGATGTTTTATTTCCCTGCAATGTGATCAATATAATCCAATTACACATGCTGTTGTATAGATGAAGTATAATAATAAGTATGATAATTCACTCGAGATTAAACATGGCATTCAATTGGTGAATCGAAATAAATAGCGACCGTTCAACCTGGATATACCGTCTACAAATTTCTTATTGACAGATGAAGCCCGAATGGCGATTGCTGATGACGTCAGTGGCATCGATACGTTATGAAAGTAATCATTAATGACATCACGAACAATAGCGTGACCCCAAAGTGTGACGTCACTAATCCATATCAGAGTGGCCCAGATTTCCAACAAAGGCACAACAAGGTCGATTTCACGGGATGATGAATTGAGTTGGTATTGAAACAAATTTAATGAACTGTTGAATTTGTTTTAAGACCAACTCAATATCAATATATCATGATATGTTGTATTTCAGATATTTGTAACGAACCCCTGTGGATCTACGTTGTTTTCATTTTGTACCGGGGGTTGATAGTACTTGCACAAAGCAGAATGGGTAGCTGGAGGGAGAGAGTTTAGGGCAGTTCATGACTTGTCACTACCGCTAGCAACCGTGAGCTGATAATATTTTGCTGATTGATCGTTTATGGTTGTTTGAAAAATTTCTGTCTTTCTTCAATAAAAATGTGAAATCTCAGCAAGTGGTATCTTTGTTAAAACATTTCAAAAGCTATCTCCCTTCGCAAAATCATACGCACAGGCAATATTCATCGGAAAATAAAACAGGTTACATTTGGTAGTTGCATTAAGTCCAACTTGAGTAGGAATTGAAATATAAAGTCATGAAGCTTTCCGTCTGTCGGTGATTGTAGCTTATATGCATTAGAATACGAATACCCCTACTGTGTTACTAGCTCCTTCCCGCAAATACCAACTCAAAGTATATTTTTTCTTGTTTATTTCATTAAGTGTTCTTTCTTTGGATTTAAAGTAAACATTAGAGCTCCCGGAACGATTCGTATTGAAGTCCTGAGCTACATTTTTATATGTTTTATAGATATTACTCTGGATTATTCTTTCCTAACTATCTTCTTGTTATGTTTCAGACCAAGGCTCGGGTTGCGGGGTAACCGTGTGTTATGGTGGAAGCAAAATGTTGCTATGCGACAGGTCTCAGATTCTCATAACAAACGTCACAGAGTCGAGCACAGGAACTGATGACGTCAGAGCTTTCCAGAACTTGCGGCGCATGTGCATGGGGAAGTCATCATGTGACACGTCAGTGATCTGTAAAAAAAAGAGCCTCAAGGTTTCTTATCTTTGTATCAGTGGTAAGTCAAAAGGAAATGTTGTTTTTATTCAGTAGAATTATGGTTTAATTGGTGAAAATCACAGATTCAAGTATTAATAGCATTATGTAACTATATTTGTTAATTCAAGCGATAAAGTTGAAAAGATAGAATTGTATTTGACGATTGCTGTTTTTAGTATTAAAGATAGCCGATACTTCTTTGGATTTATGCACAAAATGCACAGGTTTTTTCATAAACCGTATGCAAAATTTTGGCTAGTCTTTATAGTTCAATTCAAACAGAGAGACAGGCAACAAACTCTAATTACATATTTTATGAATATTTATGTTTATATTTACCAAACATTGTGACGAGATGTGCAAAAAGTAGTTTCGGTTCCCTTTTGACGTTGTTGTAAAACTTGAAAAAAAAAAATCATTAGTGGAATAACTCTTTAGAGGTGTATTTTTATTTTCTTTATCAGGAAGACCGACGACATTTCAAACATAACCGAAACAACTAATCGGTACAGTAGCGTGAAAACGTTTTACTTTTATGTGTATATTAACCAGAAAATACAAAGGCGCGGGCAGTATAGGTAGCCGAAGCTCTTTCTATATCTATCTTCAATGGCGTTCTGTTCGTTGAACTCGCCTGAACTCATTATTCTAGCCTGAATCACTTAACGCGCTAATCAGTATCGAAAGCGTTATGATTGGAACAAGGGAAGAGTTCAAAGAATAACCCCACCGTATCTGGGTTACAGTTACAGTACAAAGTTGTTACGTTAATGACCATAAATTAGAATGATCTGTGAACTGTGCTTGTAACACAGATATCACAGAAATGAACCCCATTACTATCGTAATACACATTGTTTGACCGATTAACTATGTAAACCGTCTCATTTGTACAGTGTACAGTACATATATTTATTACATTATTGATCAATCATATAACAATGATACTGTCTGTTGACCCTTGAAAAGTCAGTTTTCCGGCAAATGTGCACGTACGCTACGCACAATCATCCGCTAAAACAACTCGTGCTTTCCGCAATGTGAAATCAACACATACATGTACAAAATACATATATATGTGTACTTGTGTGCTTTTGCCAACATATGTCCCTGTTCATTCCGGGTAAAATTGTTGTGACGTCACGATACACAGGACGAAATGTTACGGTGACGTCAAATAAACGTACTGACACAGTGTAATTATTGACGGGTTATCGGTGGTTTCCATCCCGTTAGAAACATGTTTTAAACTGTTTCCACCTTGTGGAAGTAGATAAAGATTGAAATGGAAAGAAAAACTGTGGAACAAATACGATCACGTGATAACAATTTTATCATTGCAGAGTTTTCCATGGAGCGTAGTTGTCCGGGCACATTACAGAGTCTTGCGTCAGCCGACGGTTTCATTCAGAGTCCTTCTTACCCTTCAACTTCTATTGAACGCTGTCAATGGCAAATCAGCGTCCCTAAAGACTCTTACGTCACAATTACTGTCCATGACCTTGAGAAAACAGGTCAGACTCAATCTCACTGCGAGGCTGGTATCCAACTCTCGACCACGCGAGATTGTGTAAACCATACACTACCGTCCAAGACCATATGTCACGCCGACAACCTCGACCCCATGATCGCGTGTGGCGTTGTCACAGTCAACCTCGTTCCCAGCGACAGACAACATTCCAAAGTGAGGTTCTGGTTATCCTACAAAGGTAAATAATACATACTCAACTCATTCACTTTAATAACAAATAATCCTCCTAAATTGTAGGTAGGGGTCAATTTTATAGTTGAAACTTTTATCTAAACATTGATGACTGAAATAATTTGTTCAAATGACCCTGTCAACATTTCTCTTCAGTCTTATCCATGCTGAAGATATCGAATGAAACGCTTCTCTCAAAGCAGGTGCATGTAAACTGGAAAACTTAGGAAAAAAATGGGGAAAAGCACGTACTAAGTCAAGAAGGGCTTGTGTTAATTCATGCAATTAACTTTTCCTTGAGTTAAGTACCTCAACACGGTGAGGTATTTCGGCTAATCTTTTGTAATCACATCAGAGAGGAAGTGACACTTTTGATAAATATAAGTGAAAAATAATCACACTTGCAATGTAACACAAACATGTACAGACAATACAAAGATCCCATGGACACGTTGGCATACATATCGGATCTCCTGGAGACCAATCTGTGACTTTTACCATCTTTTTTCGTAATACTTCGAGTAAACAACTACAGTTCACCGATCAATCATTAAAAACGTGCGGGTCTCACACCGTGCGATCTGGCATACATGCATTGCACATCTATGCCTAACTGTTTCAACATTCACTGACTTTTTGTCAAATCTCACCTCTCCTATGCTTTAATTATAGTCATAGAGATTTGAAAAAAGGCGATTTTAAATGATTTGCCATGTGTTACATGTATCACCGATATGTACATATAAAAAGACATAAAGGTACATATGAACATGGATTTCGGTACTGGACTTATTAAATCACATGAATAGTGATTTTGGTTTTTTGCATCTGAAACGACACGAATAACGGTATGGGTACTGAACATTACAAACGATGTCGATAACTATGTTAAATGTGAAATAATTTCAGTGCGGTTTTTACAAGAGTTATGATGTGTGCTGCATTTATTTTGATGTGTTTATAGTACCTGTTGTTCTGTTCTAGCACTGAGGTGAACCTCACGGGGTAATTGTCATTTTTAACTACGGAAATCTTACAACACATATATACTTTCTTATGTTTATTTTGTATTTACTTTCAGTTATTCAATTTGGAGATGACTTTGACCTTGACCTTCGGCAGCTGTCCACTACCTGTCCGGAGGGTACCTATGACAAACACATGTCGGTGGTCAGTAGTCTTCAGGGATTACCGGACGACAGTTTTATACAACCAGATCCGTTCGATATTACAAGTAGTAAGTTTTGATTCGTTTCCTTATCACGTTCAGTTTTTCATTATTTGGCAAGTACACATATATATACGTACTCAAATGTAAAGTTAGGTTTGAGAAAAGGACAAAGACACTTAAATTTACCCCCATATGCCTTCATTATTATTCATCATCGTAAATAAGTAGCATCGTACAATTTAACACCCAATGCCATTATGATATTCTTTCCCACCGACAGTTTATTCTCATCCAGCCACGCGTAGCAGAACATGGTCGATCGTCGGCGACCAGGTTGCCAAATTGGCAGCGCGTTAGTCTAGAGTTCGGAGAGTCCCGGGTTCGAATCCTGTTACAAATGTATACGTCAAATACAATACACTTACATTGTACTGTACATGCTGTTCATATGACCTGCTCTATTAGTGACTTGCTCACATAAATCCTGTCCGTGTTTGCTTTTTAATCTTTAAAAACCAAAAATTAGTGCCATTCTATTTTCCACTTTGAGTAATTGAATGAATCTAATTAGCATAAAATATCTTTTTTACATAATATTGCTTAATAAAATTAAGTTAAGCTCTCCGATCGTCTGTTTTAATGATAAACACTTAAAGTAATCCTGGTCCTGGCGACGAGTGCCACGAAGGACACAAAGGAGGGGACGTAGATAAAGAGATATATCCGGTTTATGTGAACGGACAAAGCAGATTAGATAATGTGTTATCGTATCGTGACAACATAAAAAACACCGGTCTCCGCAGAACACAACACAAATCGAACTGAAAAACGGATGTACACGTTTTTTTTAGAGTTTATACACAAAACACCTGTTCTTGACCGCTAAGGTGGTTTCATTGAAATAGAAATATACAATTGTACATGCTGTTGCCCTAAAATTCTTTAATTGAACAAAGAAATCCCGCGACAAGTGTAAGTTAGTTCTCATTTTGAATTATCGTTATTTTGGTTAGTAATGATATTTTCAATCCATTTAATGTATCTTTTATTGTGACTATTTTTAATTACAATCCGCTGTACAAAAATGCTTTCTATTCTATTGTTTGCTTTTGTTTTTTATCCAATTGTGATTATTTTGAATCCATGCAATTACACTATAAGTTCATGATAACGATAAATATTAAAAAATGAAATTTATTACTTATGAGAGTGAATGCAGCCAGGCTCCAAAACTTGTTTTACAGCCTCGTATCTTCAAAAACTTAAAAAGGAGTCAGCAAATAAATGAGCCTATAGAGGTCACCGCATTTATGAAATTCAGTTTTTTTATTTATTTGTTTGTTTATATTACAGAAGAAGTAGTAACGTCCAACATTACAATTCTGGAGAGAAGGGAGATAATTCAAGCAGATATGACGGAACGAACAGGTACATTGTTTGACTATGTAACAAAGCTACGATTATTGGACTTTATTACAACTATATATAGCATGTATACGGGGGAGAGTTATTTTACATTGATATGTATTTAAGTCGTCATAATAGTATCAGCAAATTAAAACAAAAATGGTACAACATGAAAGTGAAACTGCCAGCGTGTTGTGATAGTCAAATGAATGAAAGAAAAAATATTATTTTGGCCGGGTGTTTCCATTGTGACGACACACTCATGAGTATAACATTTTGACGACACTGTTGACTATGGATGTTTTAGACATGGTGAAACTGATTTTGTCAGCACAAATTGAGAAATTGAAGTTGTCAACAAATTTTGACGACACAATCAAACTGATAACAGTTATGATGACAGGGTATTCTGTCGACACAGTGACATGGATAAAGTTAAGCTGACTTTGTATTTTTACGACACAATCAAACTGATAACAGTTATGATGACAGGGTATTCTGTCGACACAGCGACATGGATAAAGTAAAGCTGACTTTGTATTTTGACGACATAATCAAACTGATAAAGTTATGATGACATGGTATTTTGTCGACACAGCGACATGGATAAAGTAAAGCTGACTTTGTATTTTGACGACATAATCAAGGTGAGAAAGTGATGACGACTGCGCGGGAATTTTAAACGACAAACCAATTTGACACTGAGAGTGAATTTGATAGGACACACACCATGGCGGCACACCGGAATTGTGAAAGTGATGCTGCCAGGATATTTTGATACATGTAGCCATTCAAAATGAGAAAGTAATATTGAGTGATGGCGTTTAATGTTACGTCATCAAAATTGTACGTGCTCTTAACAGGTCATATAGATGATTCCGATATGATTTTTAATAAAACGACACTTTAACCTCAAAAAGATCATCACTGTTTATTCATACACGTAATGTTTATGTGTTGTAGTATTCTACATAGCCGTAGCTGTAGCCGCCATAAGTCTAACGGGACTGGTCATCGTCACAGTTGTTTGTATCAGGTAGGTAAACACAAGGGTACCCACAACACCTACAAATGCAGTGTCAGTCGGAATATTCGGTAGAAACGTTTATAGATTTTAGGGTTCCTTTAGTGTAGTTGGTTATCTGTCGCGTCATTTGGCTCTTACTGATATCTCGATTGCCCAACAATACAGTTTCTACTACGAAACTAGGGTGTTTCCTTAATCCGTGGTTTCTTCCAAATTCTAACCAGTTAAGCCTAGATACGAACGAGATTTCTTCTGTCCAGAAAGAATCACGTGATCTGAAGAAAAAAAAATCTGGACTAACGAGTTATCCCCCTTCAAACAATAAGCACAGTCGATGTACTTGCATAACATTATTGATTATAGATATATATAGATATATATATATTCAGTTATGTAGTATTGATATTTGAGAAAGGATTTTATTAACCGGGCAAAATAAAAAAAATATCACCGCAATAAATACCACCTTTAATACAACGTTGAAACAGGTTCTAAGTAAAATCGTGACTATACGACATTTAAGGTAATAGGATTGTGTCACCATTTCTCAGCAGATTTTAAAAAAAATGTAATTATATTGCTTTGAAGTAAACAAAATGTTCTGCCTCATAAAAAGATAGGTTGTCAGAATTTTAACGATTTTAAATGGAAATGTATGTAAAAAGGATTGAATTTTGAAGAAGAAAAATAAAAGACAAATTTTTTGGCAAAATAATGTCAATAACAATGATACTGACATAGATTTGTATTGAATTAATGTATATCAATTTAATAAATGCTAAAATTGTGTAAAATTAATTATCTATAGACGATTAAAAATTGACATTTTATAATAAAAAGTAATTGGATGTAAGAGTTATCGTTCTTGAAAAACTTCACAGTAGTGAAATAGGTAGCCGGTTTCCTGAAGTACAGAAAAATGGACACATGTGACTCATTGATACAAAACAACTGAATTAATGCCTGGATTGCTTTGAAATACTTTAACGTTGAGAGAACACACAGTTCTGTCAATAATAAACACACAATATTCATCAGTTTAATATTAAACATTAGAATTTGCGGAAATTGTGATACTGTCTTCCTACATTGGATTTTCAACTAGGGATGTACTTCCTGTTTCCGTTTATAAATACACTCTTATGACCTTAATAACTCATCAGCGGTTTCAAACTTGTCAAATAATTTATTGTTCAAAATGCTTCGCTTTGAACTGTGAGTGTGTATCATAATTTACTATAATTAAATGAGTTTATTTTTTATTTTTACAGACGACAGCGCACTCTTAAAGCTGCTGGGTCTATTCAGGTTAATCGACTTCCGGCACATCCAACGGTCAGCAACGCATCAGCAAATAGACCACTTCCGCCGATCGACAAGGAAACTAAACCCGTTAAACAGAACGGACAGCCGGCGGCACGTGCTAGCCTCCAGGACGGATACAGTAGGGTAGCGGACGAGATCCCATACAATTCGAGCCAAGACTCCACGCGCTCCCCCGCGTACGCCGAGGTGGACGACAATATTAGCCCCGCCCCCGGGCACCATGTTTTTAGGTTCGGTCTTAATGGAGAAAGGAAGTCTTCCGTGGAAAACGTCTATTCTGAACTCAATGAAGAGGGCGATGTTTATTACGAAATTTATGATAAGTATGCTGCATCCCCAGGACCTCTGTCTAACGACCATGCCCAATTACTTAAGAACAAAAAATCGGACAAAACACATTCCATATCTCCAAAACCTGGACGGTCGTCCATCCGTCCGATATCATTCGAGGGTCCATATGCCCATATGGATGGGCGGACAGTATCCAAAGATCTCTCCGATTCAGATTGCAGTCTCGTTTTGATGGACAATGAAGTATACGACCATTATGAATCTGCCCATGTTTGATGAACGCTTGTAGATATAATTGTGAATTTAAAATCGGTAAAAAGAGACGCAAGTTGTGCCTTAATCCTTAAGGTGTAAATCCGGAAATTTCGTCACAGCGCAGTATTCGCCCTAAATCATGTGTTTGCAGGGCCGGGGAATGCGCTTATTCTGAATATTGCGCTTAAAGAGTTGAGGGATCTGCAAGGCCGGAGATACACTATGACGTAGACCAATGATTTCTGATATACTTTCAGATCTAAATAATCTGAGATAAGTTTGGTTGGATCGCAATGGGCGGTCTTCCATGTTGTGCCTTGGAAGGATAGTTGAATGTTGATATGTTGAAACGTAAGCAATTGTGTGATGACGTAACAGTGTCGTCACTGTTGATTGGATGACTCGTGTGACGGACAGCGTGAAAAACGCGTACTCCTTTGTTGATCGTTCTGAGTATCGTTATACGACAGCCTTATGCAAAATTATAACGTGTTTCTGTACAGTGGTAACTGGTGTGCTCTTGGATATTGGTGCTAGTCTCCAGTTATCGCTGTACTGAAGAAATACTGGTAAGGGGAGGTAGCCCCTGGGTGATTAAAATGCCCGTAGGTGAAATGAACAAAGTCCGGAATGAGATTAGTGCCTTATAAACGTCTATGGAAGGTTTTTATATGAGCAAGTGCGTGCACAATGTCTCGTATAATATATTGAATCAGACGTCAACACTCCATGACGTCAAATGGATGTTTCAGTACAGGTGAGCTTAAGTTGTAATGGTCTTCCAAACAACTGACTGACAAGTTACCTCGATTGGAATAAAACTATCGATACGTTTGTTGACTGTGGTCCCAGATAATTAAAGTAAAATTTGTATCTGACGTCATCGTGATGACGTCACAGGGATCCAATTCGCTAAGAGGGACACGATGGTGACTTAAAGAGTGATCCACTGTAATAGATGTGCAAAAGAGGATGTTTTTAATTTTAATTTTTAAAAGACCTCATTTCATAAATCGTGATGGATGACATAACCGACCTCAGAATATACATCAATGCCTTCATGAGGATTTGATGCAACTTATTATGTGGTTCGCCTTAATTACGTCACAGAGGATCCAGAAAACATACCATGCATGTTCGTTTTTCATGCGTACTCCGGAAGGTTGTGTCGGGATTTGGTGCGGGTAGGATATGTGTAGTTTTGCCATTGCATTTCAAATATTTCATTTATCTAACATGTGTTAACGTCTGGATCTCGGTGAGGTGGAGTAGATTTTATGGGTTTGAGTGTGTATGTTTTCCCCATATTTGTTTTTTTAAAGTTATTACATATACATGACACCGGTGTCAAATCAAGTCATTGTTTGCCTATTGTTGCAAATTGGCGATATATTTTGATTCAGAATCGAATCTCTATGCCATGTGGTGCTAAAAAAACCGGCGAATATTAAGAAATTGGCAACATATTCATGTTCCATATATATATGTTTTCTTATAATGAAAATAAAATAATAGACATAGATTCATCATCGTTTAGACATGAATTAGCGATTAGAAATAGATTTACATATAAGTAACATTGTAGTTTATACACCGAATAGTTGTCTTTTATTCAAGCACCCCTGCCCCATTGCAGAGAAAACATTTCATAATCCCTCTGTTCCCTTCGTCATACACAGAGTAACCTCCCCTGATCTTGAATTCAGTATTCACGAAACCGTCTGCATGTTTAAACTCACATTTTGTGTCGAAGCCCAACCTCTTGTTCCAGTGATAGATTGAAAATAAAGTCTTTTTTTTTACAATGACATGGAAGGGTTTTGGAAGGCCAATACCGTTTTGAATGGTTACATGATCTAAGCAAGTTACAATGAAGTTTGCTTGAGCACAGTATTCATTCTCGAGCATAAGACTGGTTCTACCATATGGGCTTAGATAGCTCAGTGGGTTAGAGCGATTGAATGTGATTGGATGTTATGGATTGAAACACCAGTCTTGTCTCCTTTAATTTTTACTCTCAGAAAACTGTTGATTGTTTGAATTTCATCTTGATTATTGTTTCATACGAGTGTCGCAAGGTTGTTTTTCAGCAATAAGATATTAAATCCATTGACGTGCCGGTTGAGAGTTTTCAATTTATTATTACAGTTATCGACAGTGTTACGGGGTTCTTTAAATGTCTTATGTCTTATTTGTTTATTTTGTATGATGACTTGTATTGATAACACTGTATTGGTTACATTGTATTGATCACACTGTATTGATTACATTGTATTGATCACACTGTATTGGTTATTGATTTCACATGCATGATTCACGTCGTCATTGATCTGTGTCACAAAACTGTCATGATATGTATATAGTCGTTAACAAATATTAGTATCTAGGAGATCAACTTTTCCTTAGAATGTTTAAGTTCACGTTGCTGTTTTCTTTTTAAGATATGTTGAATCGATTAATAAAGAAAGACCATTGAAGTATAACGTCAATTTGTTCTGATTTCACACATGTCTAAGAAAAGAGAATATATTTAAAGTGGATAGAGGGTGTTTGTGAATAGAATATTGTGTAAAAGATGTGGATTAATCAGGTTGCCTTACAAGCGTCAGCTGTAGGGAATTTCCCTTTAGCTGAGCGGTAGAGCATCGGGCTGGAGAGCCAAGGGTCGCAGGATCGAGCCCCAGCGACGGCACTATCTTTATCACTATTCCTCGTCCTACTACAAACTGGTGCCGTTGGCCCTCCCTGTTCAGTGTAGGAGAACCCTTGGCGGGGAGTCAAAGAACCTGGGTTGGTGACTGAAACAAGAGAGGAATAATGTAAAATATGTGCATTGATTAGGTTGCGTTACAAGCGTCAGCTGTAGGGAATTTCCCTTTAGCTGAGCGGTAGAGCATCGGGCTGGAGAGTCGAGGGTTGCGGGTTCGAGGCTCGGCGACGGCACTATCTTTATCACTATTCCTCGTCCTACTACATTTGTACATTCACAGGTATTTTCGATGTCGGAAACTTTTCCATTGTTTTAGCCAAATGTATGTACAATCATTATGGTTGTAATTTTACCAAGGGAAGACCTAAGCCCCTAACACGGCTAATATGACTCTGAACAAAGTAGGTTGGTCCAAACATGGCTGTTTTAACCTATTCTCTGGTCCCTGTGATTTGACATATTTAGCGTGTTTCACTACTAAAGCGTCTACCCGAGGAAGATCGAGTATTCACTTTGCACGTGCAAAGACTGGTGAACTTATTGGACTATTGGGAATTAAAACTTTTATTCATTGGATACACAAATTCCTATGACATTTTGAGAGGCTGTTTGGCGTGTTCACTTTCTCAGGTAAGTGCGTTTGATATTTGTACATTAGAGTAGCGATTGGTTCACGCGGACAGGGACCTGATAACTTATTCAGTAGGTTTGTTTGGATCTACATTGTATGTAATGTATAAAGAGCAATATCAGACAAATTAAACGTTTAAATATGCACATCGTAAAGACGTTACCCCGCCCAGACTTTAAATGGGAAGGATGGAAAGTTCTTGATATAAAACATTTCATCCAAACTGATTTTTTCGTTTTAAACTCCTACATCATTGATTTTAGAAATGCAATATTTGCACCTAGTGCTAGTTCACTGGCAGATGGTAATTGGTAATCCCGCAATATCTTTTCTTATATCGTATCCTTGAAAGCAAAAACGACTCAGCGAACATCTTCAGCCAAACCCCATATATCAATTGATATAGATAGCTATACTCCAACTGCAGTGGATAAGGGGACATAACTCCTGCTGTAGTACCGTCACCAGTGACCGATCACGAAACTCGCAAGCAGCAAATGGTGTACAATTACTTTCAAATGTAGATAGACCGGTTGAAGTTTTTTACGTAACAAGGCTTGGTCTAGATATACATGTATGTTATAAACTCCAAAAATTTAGGAATCTCCATTATGCATTACTGGTAAACATAACATTAGCTATCAAAAGAGACCTGGGTATTTGATACAGTTGGTGTTTCAAAGTTCAGTCATTGTTGTCAAGTTTTCGCTAGTACATTCTCCTTCAGTATTTACCATATGGAAAGCTTGTTCCAAAATATCCTCTATAGTTTCCAAGAGAAATACCGTTCAAAATCTTAACAAATCAAACTTCTCTAATTTGTATAATTTTAAAACGGGTAATCACCGTGGCAACCATAATAAAACTCACAAATACATTTCATTTTGACATAAATGAAAGAAACAGTGATTTGGATTTGGAAGCCAAAAATTGGTCCGAACCATTTACTTAGTAAAGGAAGCACGTGTTAACAATGTCAAACATTACCCAGATTTAATTTCTTTTTATAAAGAATAATTATAGTCAATTTCTGAAGAAAAAAATGTCAACAGATTTATTTTGTTGTATTTCGATGTTTTTTGTTTGTTTATGTATACAAAATATCTAATTAACGTTTGTTGTGATGAAGTGTCGTCTTTATTGAAGTTCTTTCCAGTATCATATTTATAACAAACACTTAGGTATATGTAACTCAGTTTTATTGATATCCAACAACCAACAGGGTATATAACTCGTGTAACTATCATCTAAATACAGGAAGTATAAATATGAATGTTAAAAATAACATAACTGTAGAAAGAAAAAAATATGTAAACATGGGTAAATTATGAATATAGCCCAACATTACAAAAATGTACGTTAGTGATTACGGTAATATTGGGCGGAAGTAGAATATGAACTTGTTGTAAAGTCCACAACAAGAAAATAAACGGACATCGGTTCTATAACAGGAACTGAAGGACACAACAATTAACAGCAGTAAACATCCAACATATAGATAACTAGAAATGATAGCAGTATTTCTGCAGAACCTCTTTAGATTTCAGTTAAATGAATTTATTTGTTTAATTTTGATCCCAAAATCAACAAAGATCCTTCAAAAAACATAAATGGTCTGATGAGCATCTCTTAGTCTCGTTCATCCAGACACTTGATCACTTGTAATTCAAGAGATTCTCTGTTCGGCGTAGCTTGCGCGGACAACACGAGTCTGGTTGAACGAGACTAAGCATCTCTTGACATTCCATCGGAATGCGCAGTTGTTTCGCGCTCCAGGACATGACCCACGTGGAATGGCGCAATCGAACTCCCGCCGTCTTGGTGAAATGCGAATGCGCTATTACATGTACATATCGACTTCGTCATCCGACTGATATAGCACATAACTACATAGAGTGTCATATAGCATACACGTTGTCTCCAAAATATAGCATATAGCTATCACTGGGGTCTAGTATAATTGTTACCTTCCTTATGGTAAATAAATGTCACACGGACCGATAGCCACCCCTTCATTACATAACTACCACAGGGGACTGTAGCACCGTATAGTCATTACCTTACAAGATATCTGTGAAGTATGATCAATATGTATATTTCTATATGCCTAATTCAATGTGCATTTGGTTATAGATTGAATTTAAATTGAATAATCATTACCTTCTCTATAGCATCAAAGGGACCTGGAGTCTTTTCTTTACATACATGTAGTTGCCAATACCACATAGAACTTTTATTTATTGTTTTCCTTATATTGCAGGATTTTATCAGGGGCCGGTATAGAAATCAAACAACCAACAAGGGCAAAAACTCGTGTAGTTATCACTTAAATCGTAAAAATATACTTCCAAAAAGCATGTGAAATAACTAAAAGTAGAAAGGAGAAACCCATGTAGACATAAATAAAATATTTAAATATCTAGCAGCATTAAAATAATAACATAAAATAAGAAAAGTGGAAAACATTCTTATACATTTTTGGTTAAATATGAAGTATACTTAGTGAAAACATGGTCAATGTAAAAAAAATAAGCATTAACGATTATCGATAACTTTGCCATAAATGCTTACCGATAACTTTGCCATAAATGATTACCGATAACTTTGCCATCAATGATTATCGATAAGTTTGACATCAACGATTATCGATAAATTTGCCATCAATGATTGTCGATATCTTTGCCATCAATGATTATAGTTCAATTTGAAAGAAAAAAAATATCGATAAGTTTGACCTCAACGATTATCGATAAATTTGACATCAATGATTATCGATAACTTTGCCAGAAATGATTATCGATAATTTTTACATCATTGATTATCGATAGCTGTGACTTCAATGATTATCGATAACTTTGACATCACTGATGATCGATTACTTTGACTCAGAGGTTTGATTCTTGCAACAGTTAAAATCGATTGAAAAGGATGTCCATATGATTGGGCCACTCAAGGACAACGTTACTTATGGAAGTTGCAAAATACAAATGTAAAATAAAACACATACGATTCGAAAACCAATGTATCTGCAGACGGATACAGTGTATAGATCGGATGACATGGTTATTCATACTTAATTACTTGTAAGTGGGAGCAAATAACTGGAGGCAAAATTAGGTACTCCGGAAGTGACGTATTTTCTCCATCACACATAGCAACCAGCAAGATGTCTGCAGTTACATCATATTAAAATAATTTTAAGCATTCAATACATTACGTAATGCACTAACTTCTATAAAACAGTCAAGTTTCCCTATTGAAATCCGAATATCGCGCCTCTTTGGTCTGTTCCTTTCTTTTGTGATACAGTTGTTATTACAAACATTATGTATTTTTTACCTTTTGAAAAATATATGTCAGGCTACACCGAGTGTTTATATAAACACTGTAACAAGTGCTTTTCGGCTATGTGATAAGATATATACCTCTTCTCCTCTGACAGAAGCTAAACGGGTTTCGGTTCCAGTATCTAAATCAATCAGGTATTGGAATATATATATACAGTCCTCTTTTTCTTTTCTCGATGGGAGAACCAGTTCAGAATATTTCAAAGAATTTCACGGTACTCTGAGTTTCCATACTAACAGCGAACTTCCTTCCACACACTGCTATCCTGTATGGGTCGCTGATGTCGACAAGAGGTCGGATATTGCCGTGTCTCGATATCTGTACGATCTTCTTTGACCCGGAACAGCAGACGTAGATATTACCATCTTGGTCCAGATCCAGGCCGGTTGCACCCGACACCTGGTCAGAGACTCTAGCCAACTTGACCAAATCTTTGTCCTGCATTATTCGGATAACCGAGGCTGTGTCATCCGTCGTGTGAAACTCGGTATAAACGACGGTATCATTGTGAGGGTCATAGGCCACTCCCTGGGGGGTTCTACAATACCAATTTAATTCATGCTTGGAATCGCCAATCATTTTGAAGACTTCGTAAGAGCTTGAATTCAATCCGCTACCAACAATATAACAGTCTCTGCCTAGGGCAATCGCATCAATCTTTCTGCTGGTCATGATATCTATGCCGGAATCGAGTTCCAGTTTCCTCTTCGATTCGATCCTCACATGCGTTATTTTCCCCTCTTCGTTTTGAGTCACTGCTACGGTTTCCGCGTCTTTCATGCATATGTCCCGGCAGTAGGATATCTTCAACTCGTCTAGGAGATTTCCATCTGCTGTAAACATTTTCAGTTTTTCATTTCCGTTGTCCGACACAATAAGACGCCCGTCCGGCAGATAAACCAATCCGGCGATTCTGCAGTCACTATCGTCTGAAGAAGTTTTGATCTCCATTTCATTCAGCTCTCGTGCCTGTAACAGGGACAGTGGCAGCAAGACACTAGATTGCACGGGAAAAGCACGTGCTTGACTGGTCGTTTCCAAAGTACCTAACGACAATGCTGACAACAACAGAGTCGTTTCGTTTCCCTTTTCAGTGTTCTCGTCCTCAGAGTTTCTCCGTCTTTCGTTGCAGTCCTCGTCTGTTTTGGTCTTTTCGACCTTGTGAGTCAGTCCCGCTGTCAGATAAGGTTCTGCTAGCTCCTGCACTAGTCTACGACCAGCCTCGATCTCAATCTCTCCCTTCTGAAACGTGCGAACCATGTGCATGTCGTTTTTGTTAATTTGTTCCGTCTCTGTCATGCTCTTTGTCGTCATTATGCACCCTTTCATCAGCTCACATTTCCGTATGACACCGTCAAGTTCTTGCTTTTTGTCATTGAAGACAGCATGAGCTTCATCGGACAACGCTTTCTGTAGCCCGTTTAGTTGCTCTTCTATTTTCGCCTTTAACTGTTTTACATTATCTATGAAACCGTCCCTATCCCCGAGAAGTTCCTGAATCCGGGATTTCATATCCTTGACAATCAATGTCAATGCGTCGATCGCATCCTCTAGTTTCTTCTGCGTGTTTTCCATTTGCGATGGTGTTCTCATGTTCTTGACATAATCAGCATACTTGTGAATTGTATCACAACGCCTGTGGTCTATAGCTATACATATTGGGCAGCAGATGCTGTGATGGTCATCACATATCATACTGACGTCGGTAGAGTGCTTGGAACAAACCGCAGACTTTGGAAGGAAATCTGCGTCAATGGAAACGAGAGTGTCATCTTCAGATATCAGATCGTTCTTCTTACAAGAATCGCAGAGATATTTATTGGCCTCCTTCCACCAGACAGTTGCAACGGTATCCGTCTGCCCCTTTTTACCACACGGGTAACAGTAAAACTGCTTGCTATCGCTGTCGCTCTGTGACGTCAGCTCGATGATAAGTTTGTTGGCTTCAAACTCTGCGGTCCACTCATCACGATTCTGTTTTGGGTCTACAGGCAGTGTGACAACTCTACATACAGGGCATTGGAAGGATGACTCCTCGTTTGGCTCTGGACTTTTACTCAGGATCGATGTTTTCAGACATTCTTCACAAAAGGAATGAAAGCATGGCAGGGACCTCGGACACCTAAGCTGGTGTAAACAGAGAGGACATTCAGTGAGGCTTGCCTCGGTACTTCCTGACGTCACGCCTCCCTCAGCATGAACTTCCCCAGACATTTTGACTTCCACTCAGCAATTTGTCCGACCTGTAATGAAAACAAATAAATAAAAATCAAAACTACTATCTGTTTAAACTACGCGTATCAATATTTGTCTGGTAATCCTATGTCGCCCCCAGGTAAATCCATATATAGTCGTTCTTTCATACACGACATCAAAACGCAATATTTAAATATTACTCAAGACAATCAATCAATCAACCATGATGTTCCCCACAATGATAGACTACATACGAGAACATAACAACTGATTTGGTACAGGTCAAATGGCCATGTAGTCAAATAAACCATTAAATACATGTATATATCATAATATATGACAGTAACAGCTTCGACTTTAATGTAAATCGCTGAAGAAAACAACTTAATGACAATATTTGTGATCCCAATATGACATCATCAATGTATTACCCAGTTCATTATACCGGGGCAGGTTATTTACACCCATATCATTGAGATCATTACACATTTTGTTTCAAACAATAAAAGAACTACACGTATATTTGTTATTGCATTGCTGAATTTAGTTTCCATAGTTAATCATAATAGGTTACTTATGTATATATAGTTGTTCGCGTAGTATTTCAGTTAATTTGCGATGTTAAGCGCAATACTATGTGAATATAAATAGCACTTGACGTGACACAAAAATACATTGGAAGCAAAAAAATAGGTTACCTATATTATCTCCCTCTTCCAGACAAATGTACTCTAAGTTTACGCATATTAATGAAATATTTAAAGCCAATACAGTAGAAAAGGTATTGTTAATGAGTTCGGCCGATTAATATGTTCTCTTAGACAGCACATGAGAAAAACTCTCATCTAACCATTATAATCTGTAATATTGTAGAAAATCCTGTGTAATTGTTGACAGCCTCTGGAAAATACACTTTTTTTCTTCGCTTGCATGCATTATAAAATAACTCAATAGAAGTGCTTCATACATGTAATTATAAGGGAAAGCCGGTTGGTATTAGGTTGATTTTGTCGGTAAATGAAGCGCTCACTGGTGACGTCAATACCTTTGTAATAACATCTGTAGAAATTAAACTGTTTGTCCTAGGTCGATCTATATCTCTGACTATTATTCCATAAACCTTATTTGTCCTTCCTCGCTTGTATGTATACACAACGTTATTTTAATCTGTATGATGTTAGGACATCGATGAGTTTTGTAACCTTTGCCCACTCCGTTATGTTTTATTTATGACGATCAAATATGTTTATTGATAATGCCGTGATACCATATGGGTCAAATATTAGTCGCATCCACTGACGTCGAAGCTGCAAGCGATACAATGTTATTGAATAGCGCACATGTAAGAGGGATAGACCCACCACATTCACAGGTCTATACACTAGTGTAGAGCTAAACCCAGTCGTGCGTGTTTGTTTACAAATGTGAACCGCTGGTTTACGTACTGTACAGGAGTACACGAAAATAAACCCATCAACCCTTACTCAGGCCTTCAGTCGCCTATTGAAAAGATTCGAAACTAATAACAAACACAATAAAATCAAAATAGAATCATCCGGACTTGCTCGGATTTATTTTATAACCCCAAGCCGTGTTACACAATGGCTAATACCGGTCCTACCTGCTGTGTATCGCAGTATTGAGTTAGTATACATGTGTAGTATATGTGTGATGATAAAAAATATCTCTCACGTAAAAAAGATGGTATGTCAAATAAATCAAACATCAGCATAGAAGCAATAATACTGTTTTATAGCAAGCCTTACCGGAAACGTCTAGTCGGTAACCTTGAATTCTGATTCTGTACTTGCTGGATGGGTCCTAGCAGCTGATGAGATGGTCGGGGTCCCACACTTACTTGCTGGCAACACAAAATCAAACACGGAATGCGGACTAAAACCACGGACTAAGATAACTTATTTTAATTCCGTATTAAAACATACGTGTAAAAACGAGGGAAGATACCACTTTCATGTTCCGGTCTTTTATTCAATGAATACAGAAAAGACAATGCAATGTAAAGGAATAAAATGTATAATTATCTAATCTCACAAGCAGGTGTACATTACTATTTGATATATATATATATCACAATTACATATTAACTTAAACGACAGCTCAAATACATTACATAAATATATTTACTATGAACGGCGATATGCAATATCTGGACATACAAATCATTACAGTGAAATGCTATTATTATGTTACTTGGTATATATAAATAGTTGATAATAAATACTTATATATTACATTTACCTATACTTAGCGATCAATACATGAGTATTCTGACACCTACCCCGACAATGGGTCAAGGGTCTTATTAAGACTTTCGTCTGGACTACCAGGACAATGTATCAACTGAAAATATAATGAACAACTAATAAAGCAATGAATGCTATATATAATAGATCACCTTACGATACATGAATTATAAAACATTACTTATCCGTGATCAAATAGTGGACTTTATATATTTAGATATATAAACGTTAGCATACAATTTGATTTTAAATGATTCATATTAGATTGCTTACAATAGAAGTGCTTTAATTGCACGTACATATTTATGTAGGAACCTACCTAAAATCTGTATCAAAACGACAACGTCATCTGTCCGTCTGTCGGCAATGGCTGCCTCTGTTTAAGGTTGCACCACCCTTTCGCAATTAGCCAGCAGAATTCAATGAAAGTTTCACAATATGGTTGTGTCAATATGTAGAGATGATTTTTATGACAATCTAAGCATTCCGATAATCAGGGGATTTATTTGTAAAAAATACCGAAAAAATATTTTTTTTTCAAATTCAACGCTTTCACATTTTTTGAGTGTGTGGCATTGTTAAAAACTATTACAACAATGAAATAATGAAAAGAAACATTGCTTATCAACCCTACAAATATTTTATTTATTATAAAATATTTACAACATGTTAGAAAAAGCGTTTTATATTGAAATTGTATGGATAAAAGTTACTAAATGCAAGCTTAAAGCAAACAGGACACATAGTGTCATACAAAAAGAGTGAAAAATTGAACCAATACACACAAAGTCCTTATTATTCATTTATTTTATATTTTACAATAATTTTGATCCTGATGAGAGTTGTCTACCTTAAAAAAATCGGAACTTTTTGCAGAGGGATAAAATTTATACAATGACACTTATTTTCTTTACTATACCAAAAATATCGGAAATAAATTAAATTACTATATTCAATTTTCAAATTACTGTTCTTTTATGGAACAAAATTACTATCATTCATGTACACTTTGGACATCATCCCATAGTCCGCTTACGCATTGTATACCATAGGCTATCGCATGGTATGCCGTTATTACGTGCACGCACATGCACTTGCATTTTATAGGGATCTTGATATTTTACAAACCTTTATTTTCAAAGAGTTATTGTAATTGCATTTATGAAACGATTTATCTGACAGAGCGTAACTCGCTCCACAACAAAAGTACTGTTAGCTCGTGATACGTACAGGTGAGGTCGGTAAACAAAACAAATCAGTCTGCATTCCATGCGCCTCATATACGACCTTCTTGAAGTCATCTGATCTTATGTCAGATTATACCGAAACAGCACAACTAACGGTAAACGCGGTATTAAAATCAACCCTATTTCATCCGTATCTTATGTTAAGTGATAAACATATTTTTTAAAAGACTTAAATCTTTCTTTTTGTTTACAAAAATGCATCATTATTTATGCTCCATGGCTAGCGGATTGCCGTTATCAAAGACGTAAAAATGAAAGGACTGTTTTCCAGGTATGTTAAAATTACAAAAGAGCCTTCCCCCTCATAACTTTCGTTTCTGAAGTGCTACGAGATTTATGCTGCGGTATAAACTTTCAATCCCTTAAAAATCTGGAGTTATTACTTTGAATCACCCTACTAATTATTTAGATGGGTAATTGATTTAATTACAGCATATTTTTTTTTGCATCATTATACTTGGGGAAAAAACATTTTCTTTCATGTGATGCTGAAATAATATATCTATCATCAAGAATATGAGGATAATCAAACATTTTGTGAATAATGTTAAGACCAAAAACAGGATTTTTCATTCTTCTTATTCTTGTATATCAAAAAAAATATCTGAGTATGAAGAAGTGGTGTTATTTCAAATATGTATGCAACAAAATATCCTGTGTACATAAAAAGGGGAGGGGCTAAGAGAACTTCCTGGCATCCACTAGAAAGCAATGCACCTGATTACTGGTAATTGGTAATGAAATCCGTTGCTAGCCTACAATGAACATTGCAATGCATGTTAGGTCACACAAAATTCCGAATTCAGATTTGCTTCATCACTAGGCGTTGTTGATTAAGATTTTGTTAACAATCAAATTTGGGATCAATATCCTCGTCATTTTTTAGAATTTGTTTTTGTACATTTTGTTACATTTTGGACACAGTAGGACCATTGCCTGGAAGCAAAAATGATGCAAGCATAAAAAAACATCATAGACAAGCTCACATTTCTGGAGCAAGACGACAATGTAGTCGTTGATCGTGGTTTTAGAGATATCCTGCCAATGTTAGAGCCATCTGGTATTAATACCTGAATGAACCTGGTCAGAGCCATCACCCTGATCTACAGGCAAACATTGACAGGACAGTTACTTAATCCCGATGGATTGTAGAGTCTTATCATGGCCGTCTTACGCATTTGACATTGTTTAGAACTCACCTAATATCCAATTGTTTCATTGATATAAAAGAGGAAGTGCTAAAGATTTCGACTGCATATGTATCTCAATGGGATACATTTATCAAAGATCACCGAAAACTGACAGAAAAGACAGAGAACTCGCACATCAAATGAAGTTTCTTCTTACAAAACATTATGTTTGGATCAGAGGATGAAAACAGAACCGGCTGTCTCCAAGAAAGCAAAGTCAGAATTCGAAAAGATGGATACATCGTCACTCACTTTTCCAGAGCTCAATTTGGAACATTTGAAGACTATAACGTGCGGTAACTACCAGTTACCCAGGCTATATTAGTGGACACATTAGTGATGATGGAGATTATGAAATGTGTCAGCACTCTCAAGACCTCATCCGTCGTCAGATTCGTTCCTGACACAAGAGCCAGCCTAATATTATTTTGGATTCAGTACAGCACGACACCAAATGATAATAATCCAATAAAAGATTACTACTGTCAATTCCCAGTCGGTCAAATAGCTATGGGAGTGTGTGTTCATACATCAAATATACTTTATTATCTTGACTATAATATCAATCTTCAAAATCCAGAACAGTTCCACCGAAGGGCTAAGAAGATCCGACAAAGCTTGAAATAAGTTGTTTTCTTGTGAATCTAGAATTACCAGTTTGAAAACAAACTCAAAACCTCGCATCATTTTTTCTTCATTCTTTTTTACAAATCTGCCATTTGAGCACATTTCATCATCTTGCATCTTATAAAACATTATCTGTAAATGTCATCAGCTGTTAAAAGAGCGTCTACCTTTAAAATATATATAAACACAAAGTAACAAACAAACACACAATTCTGAATTCTATTGATATTGTTTTATTGAATGTTTTGGTGGCCGTCTTGAAAATGAATAAACCAACAAATCTTTTCCAAACGTCTTCTCTGTTGATTAAAAATTCATTCCATCCAAACTGGAACAAATATTTTCTTCGTTTCTGTCAGTTTTAAAGCCATGAATTCTGATGTATAAGATCATATGGTTATTTGATCCCTTCTTTGGATATGTTCTACCTCATATTTTGGATTGATATTTTTTCACTGGTAGGTCCTGACCTAGTCCATCTATGATCAACTTATTTTTTGTACAGAAAAGTTATAAGATACTTTTATTTTAAGATGAACACATTTTTTGTCTAGATAATATTGCCTGAGATGGCTTCTGGCTGTTGATTTGTCTGTAAATATCTGATAACTTACCATATCAAGGGATTCTGACATGTATACTGTAGCATATGATCCCTTGTTTTGATTGCATCATGAACGATCCTTCAATGCCTTGTTAGTTTGACAACATTCTTCTTTTGGAAAAAAACACACCAGGTTTTTGGGAAATTTAGTTTGATTCTTCTATGAAAAACGAAACAACTACTCATTTTAATTTAATGGGTGTTTTTATTGTGATAAGGTTTAGGTCTTCACTTCACCACAAAAATTTAAATCAAATGATAAAAAAGCATGCTTTAAATATTAGACTAATGTTATGTTGACCCCATGTAACGTTTTCAGTATTTTCTTTCCTTTTTTGTTTATGTATTCTTTTTATGTCAAGCTTCGCTAAAATATATCATACATTCTACAAACGTTTAAGCGTTTTGGTGAATTGAAGTTATCAACCTAAAAAAATTATCATACATTCTACAAACGTTTAAGCGTTCTGGTGAATTGAAGTTATCAACCTAAATAATATATATCATATATTCTACAAACGTTTAAGCGTTCTGGTGAATTGAAGTTATCAACCTTAAAACAAAATATCATACATTCTACAAACGTTTTAGCGTTCTGGTGAATTGAAGTTATCAACCTAAAAAATGTATCATACATTCTACAAACGTTTAAGCGTTCTGGTGAATTGAAGTTATCAACCTAAAAAAAAAATATCATACATTCTACAAACGTTTAAGCGTTCTGGTGAATTGAAGTTATCAATCTAAAAAAGTATATCATACATTCTACAAACGTTTAAGCGTTCTGGTGAATTGAAGTTATCAACCTAAACAAATATATCATCTTCGCAATAACATCGCGGCATTAATAGAGAACGTAGAACTAATTAACCGACTTAATCTCTCGATGTTCTTGTTTCCGATGTACCTTTTTGACATTTCGTGAAACATTTGTTTTTTCGGC